CAGATCCACTTTGCTCTGCGCTCCCCATCGCTCTCTGGAACGAGCAAACACAGGGAAATGCAAATAATTGCATTTTGTTTCATCTTGGATTAATGAATTAAAAAATAATATAGATTTTCAGCTCATCAGAGCTGCTGGCTTGTGACAGATCAAATGGGGACTTCACTTGAAAGCAAGTGGCTGGGAATTGTTTAGAGAAACACCATGAGGGTTTTTAAAGGGGTTTTTTCTCATCTCTGAGGAGGATGAAGTTTATCTTTTGAAATAAAAGGGTTTCTATATTTATTTTTTATTATTGATATGAAACAAAATAACAAAAAAAAAACTCGAGAGGGCTGCGAAACCCAAACGGGAGCAGAAGTGATTAAACTGATTAAAGGCTGTCAGAGGTGTTCTGTTCAAATTCTGCAGTTCTCTCTGCCAGGGCTCCTTTTGGGCCTGGATCCAGTTTGTGTCTCACTGCTCGGGGCAGAAATTCACTATTTTGTGAGATTTGCAAAGTCACATAGAGACACAGAGCCACGGGGGCTGTGTGCAGAGGAGGTGATGCACCAGAGGAGAAAATGATAAAACTTTTATTTGGTGCCGTGAATTTTGAGAATCCTGTGTTATGAACTTTGAAATTCAGCACTGTGAGCTGTGGGAATGCAGAGGGAATTCTGCCTGGAAGGGGCAGAAGGCCCCAGGAGGAGGCTGTGAGTGCACAGAACCCCCTGGGCTGGGGGAACACAGGAATCCCGGGCTGAGGAAGGAATTCCAGAGGCAGGGATGAGGAAAGGCTTGCACAGAATATCCAAATATCCAGTCTGTGGTTTTATTGCTGGCTGGGCAGAGCAGGATCCTGGATGGGGCAGGGATGGGGGAGTGTGCCCAGAACCGATCTCCAATATCTGTTTTTATTGCTGGCTGGGCAGATTGAGATCCTGGATGGGGCAGGGATGGGGGAATGTGTTCTATAAACACCAGGGGATCCCAAACTCCTTCACTTCGGTGAGTCTGGGACAGCAGGGGCAGCTGGAGTGTCCCAAACTCGAGGGCAGAGGAAGAAAAAGCTGAATTTCAGCAGTTTTGGATATTCCTGGTGTCCTGTGGAACCCAGCACTTTTATCTCTGCACAATCCATGCCTGGACAGCTCCTGGTGGCCAGGGCTGGCTCAGGTTGCTCCTGGTGGCCAGGGCTGACTCACAGAGCTCCTGGTGGCCAGGGCTGGCTCACAGAGCTCCTGGTGGCCAGGGCTGGCTCACAGAGCTCCTGGTGGCCAGGGCTGGCTCAGGGAGCTCCTGGTGGCCAGGGCTGGCTCACAGAGCTCCTGGTGGCCAGGCTGGCTCAGGGAGCTCCTGGTGGCCAGGGCTGTTCCTCTCTCCCTGGATGGATTTAGCCCAAGAACAAACCCGAGATGGGGACAAGGAGCCCACAGGTTCCTGTGGAGATTCGGGGTTCTGGATTCTCTGCCCCTCCCAGGGGCGCTTTCCAGCTGGGATGTGCCTGCTGGGTCAAGGCGTTCAAGGAAGGCCAAACCAAACCAAAATTCTCCTTTGGGATTTTTATTTTTCCCTGGGGTTTTGATGCAGCTGCCTCAAAGTTCAGGCTCGGAGTTTCCAGGAAACGCAGGCTCCAGATGTGGAACGTGGGCCAGGCCTCCGTTCCTGGAATCACTGAAGTGCCCTGGTGTGCGCAGAGCTTCACTCCTGTGTTTATTCTGCAGTTTGATTTATTCTGCAGCAGCGCTTAAAGGACGGATCACTTCAGCTTGAGCTGCGCTCCACCCGCTCAGAAGAAGCTGCCTCACCCTGAGATTTTATTTTTGTGGAATATTCTGCTTATTTCCATTTCCAAGTGCGCTGATTGAAGCCACAGCTGCTGCCCTTATTTCTACTTTTGCTCTCTCCTTCCCCATCAGAGCTGCGTTATAAACTGAGGACTCGGTATTTTTATCTGAAGCACCAAACACAGACTCCGTGGCGTAGGCAAAAATCCATAATTAGTGGGGCTCGAGGCAGAAGTGGCTCTGTGTGCACCAGGAAGAGGCTGCTGACGTGGGCAGGCTCGCGAGGATGCTCTGCCACGTGAAAACTTCCCCTCCATGGGGTTTTTGTTTGATTTGGGTTTTGTTTGGGGTTTTTAATTTGAATTGTAATTTTAATTTTTATTTTTATTTAAATTTAAATTATTTTTAATTTTTAATTTTTATTTTCATTTTTATTTTAATTTTAATTTTTATTTTCATTTTAATTTTAAATTTTGATTTTGATTTTTTATTTTTATTTTTATTTTTATTTTTAATTTTGATTTTGATTTTTGATTTTTGATTTTGATTTTTTATTTTTATTTTTATTTTTAATTTCGATTTTGATTTTTTATTTTTGTTTTTCTTTTCCTTGCCAGATTCGAACGCAGTGAAACGACCTAAGAGCCTGTTGAAGAAAATGTATTTTTCATGTATTTTCTCCATGTCTTTGCCTCACTGTGAGCTCGAGCCTGGCAAACACGTGTTGGTGAGGGGATAAGGAATCTTCTGATGGGATGTGCTCAGATATTGATATTTTCTTTTCCCCCCCTCTCTGTTAAAATTTTGTTTACAAATTCCTTTTGCTTTAATTATTTGTTTCCTCCTGAAGCCAGCACAAAGCAGGACCAGGAGCAGAGCCCGGCTCTTCAAATGGAACCGACCCTGCTGCCGGGCAGGGACTGCAAAACTGCATTTTGTCAGTGGGAGCTGAGCCCCCCAAACCTGAAACCGAGCGGGGTTTGGGGTCAGGGAGGCTGGGATGGGGAGAACTCAGGGATGGGATCAGCCCCAAACCCTGCTCTGGGCTGGGGCCTGATGGAAATGGAGCTGATTTCCAGAAGGGGGATGGAAATGGAGCTGATTTCCAGAAGGGGGATGGAAATGGAGTTGATTTCAAAAAGGGGGTGGAAATGGAGTTGATTTCCAGAAGAGGGATGGAAATGGAGTTGATTTCAAAAAGGGGGTGGAAATGGAGTTGATTTCTAAAAGGAGGATGGAAATGGAGTTGATTTCAAAAAGGAGGATGGAAATGGAGTTGATTTCCCGAAAGAGGGGTGGAAATGGAGCTGATTTCAAAAAGGGGGTGGAAATGGAGTTGATTTCCAGAAGGGGGATGGAAATGGAGTTGATTGCCAGAAGGGGGATGGAAATGGAGTTGATTGCCAGAAGGGGGATGGAAATGGAGTTGATTGCCAGAAGGGGGATGGAAATGGAGTTGATTGCCAGAAGGGGGATGGAAATGGAGTTGATTGCCAGAAGGGGGATGGAAATGGAGTTGATTGCCAGAAGGGGGATGGAAATGGAGTTGATTGCCAGAAGGGGGATGGAAATGGAGTTGATTGCCAGAAGGGGGATGGAAATGGAGTTGATTGCCAGAAGGGGGATGGAAATGGAGTTGATTGCCAGAAGGGGGATGGAAATGGAGTTGATTGCCAGAAGGGGGATGGAAATGGAGTTGATTGCCAGAAGGGGGATGGAAATGGAGTTGATTGCCAGAAGGGGGATGGAAATGGAGTTGATTTCCAGAAGGGGGATGGAAATGGAGTGGATTTCCAGAAGGGGGATGAACCCTGAACTCTGCTCTGGGCCCCAGTGGAAATGGAGTTGATTTCCCAGAGAAAGAGGAATGGACACACAATTGCAGCATCTTGGCTGGAATCCCGCCGTGCTCCCCTCCCGCAGCCAGAATTCCGTGTGGGCACCGCGATACAAACACGGCCCAGCTGTTCCTGCCCTGTGCCGTGGGAATCTCCACTCCTGAGCATCAAACCTCATGTTGTGCCTTCTCCTGCCCCGTTACAATGGGGTTTGTGTCCCACACAGCTCTGACACACACGATTCACCATGGCTTTTCCCCTTTCCTCTGCCCACTGCAGAGAAAACACCACCAGTCCCCCAAATCCTGCATCCAAGGACAGAGCCTGGCAGAGCTGCTGCTCGTTATGACCACTACTCCTCCTCCAGCCCTGCCCTTCCCTTCAGGTGCTGCCTTTGCTTCCCATCCTCTCCCTGATCGGATTTATCCAGAGCAGAGCAGCCGTGGTTCCACTTGGGCAGAGCCAGGAGTTTTTGGCCTTGGACCCTTGTGGTGCGTCCTGATCAGGCGTGGGATAAAAACATTGATGTGTAATTAGCTGGGGAAGGGAAACTGCTGCTGCTGCTGGCTAGAAACGGAATTTTAGATCACAGCCCCCTGCAATATTGGTAACAACAGCCCAGAACGGGGCGGGTGGGCTTGGGGGGCTTTTCATCCTCTTCCTGGTCACAGGAATGCACTTTTTGGGGGTTTGGGCCCAAATGTGCGAGTTTAAAGGGTAGAGTGATGTGGGGAGAGTGGAGAGGGGCAGGGAGGGCGTGGGGCCTTGCCCGGGTGTCACAGCCTGGGACAGCGGGGCTGCTTCCAGCGGCTCTCCCGGGGCGGGGCTGGGGGTCCCGCACTCCCGGTGGGGACAGGGCGGGGCTGGCCCTGGGCGTGTCCCCATCCCACTCACCTGGGCGTGTCCCGCTCACCTGGGTGCGTCCCCATCCCACTCACCGGGGTGTGACCCCATCCCACTCACCTGGGCGTGTCCTACTCACCTGGGCTTGTCCCCATCCCACTCACCTGGGCGTGTCCCACTCACCTGGGCGTGTCCCACTCACCTGGGCGTGTCCCCATCCCACTCACCTGGGTGTGTCCCACTCACCTGGGCGTGTCCCCGTCCCACTCACCTGGGTGTGACCCCACCCCACCCGCACCTGTGAGATCCCCAGCTCACCTGGGCGTGTCCCAGCTCACCTGGCTGCCCCTCCCCCGCCGCACTTTGGGGGGGGGGGGGGCCGGGGGGGCCCCGCCCCCCCC